TTTTTACTCATTCATTAATTGCTATAAATTCTACTTTGCTATAAAAACTGCTCGACCGACTTAAAATGTTAACTTTACCTTACGAGTGTATTACCCAGGCGGACTGCTGATGTCCGACAACCCGCTCCAATGCGACTGCGCCTTAGTCTGGCTCGGCCACTGGTTGCGCCGTTGGCTTAGGGAGACCGTCCAGACCAGGACGGTGTCCTCCAGCGAGGCCAGGAGGATGCAGGCGCTGGCCAGGGACACCACGTGCTCGCAGCAGCACAGGGCAGGCGGTATCAAAGCTCTGCTGCCCTGAGACCAGACGATCTACTCTGCCATGCTAGTCCTCTGACCAGTCGAGGGATTTTGGGAGGAGACCAGTGGATATTGTTGTTGTACATTGTCGTGTTTTCTTTGATACATTACGTTATTTGTAGACTGTGATAATTAATTTTGTGATTTAATTAGAGAAGAGGATTATGTCATAGGAAAATGTGTGAAGAAGAAAACAGATATTTTATCGTTTGAATGGATCTATCAAATGTGTTCGAATATTTCGGTCATTGCAGGAAATACCAGAATATAGGTAATATGTTTTTAAAGAATCTACTTATATATTATATATTGGTCTTACCTACAAATTTGTTATATAACTTTTCTAATTAGCTTTCTCAATATTAATATTATTTTTAATATGACTACGAACTGGAATCTGCAAACTTACATTATTTTATAAAAGCTATTTCAATTTTAATTGAGAATAGTTTTAGTTGAGAAGTATTCAAGGTGTGGTATTCTACTGTAGAATTTTAAAAAAATCGATTTTTTTTTTCATATTTTCAAAGTTTAGTTATTCAAAAATTTGTCATAAAAGGATTTTTCAAAATTCGTGGCCTCGTTCGGGTCCGACTTGTCTCAAAACTTTCAACGCGTTTTTCTCGGAACTACTTTTTCGAGCTGGCGGTAAGGATATCTCGAGTTCTAATGAACCGATTTACTTCAAATTTGAGAGAATCTTCTCTAACATCGCTTTATCGCATGGACCTTTCCCAAACTAAACTTTTCATTTAGTTTTTTAAAAAATTCGGAATTGTTAAAAAAAAACATGAAAAAAATTTTTTTTTTCAAACTGCCGCCATTCAAACAAAAATTTTTTGTAACTTATCAAAGACTCATACGATAGCGGCATCTATAATAATAAGAATCTATCTATTTTTTATGCTTGTTGTTACGCCTTCCAAAATTTATTCATTTATTTCAGCAACAATTTTAACTACTACATACTTCATAATATATAATGTCATAAATATGGAATGAAATATTTATTTGCAGAGTTTGAAATAAAATTGGGTTCTAAGATGCGTAAGATCTATTTGTCAATGTAAATCCTAAATTTTAGCAATTATTCACCGAAACTACCATATCCTAATTTTACAGTATTTAGGTGCCATAGTCACAATAATTATATAAGTCAATATTATATTAATATTGTCTTATATATATATATATATATATAGCTTTTATTTTTTAAAAATCGTTTTAAACACATGTTCCGCTCAAATTATCACAAACAAATTCTTGGATTTTCTAAAATTATGTATTTTTGAAGATTCCTCTCTAATAATTACACGAAAGCTTATCATCTTAGTGGTAATTAGAAATGATTATGAAAAGGGATATTCAGAAAGATTGACAAATTAACTATTAATTATAAATTTAAATGATAACTAATCATGAAAATGAAAAATAGCAGATTTTGGTTATTGAATAATTTTGTGTAGTGATTTAGAATTTAGTTGATAATATATATGTCAATTTTTAACTATTGTGATATAACTTATTTAAGAATTTTGAAGACCACATATAAATTTTTGTTTTTTAGGCTTTTTATATTAATTACTGATTGGCCGAACTTTATGTTTGATTTTAAACTTGACCTTTTATTAGTTACGGTATTTGCTCTTGAAAAAATATTTTTTCAATTTTTTTTTCTGAATAACATTGCATTCAATTCGCTTAAATTGATTAAAATTGTCGAATTAATTCTTACCCTCTAATTTGATTTATATTGGCAAAATGTTCATTTGCTGAAGGTCTACAATATTCTTGATAATTTATTTGATTTAAATATTAAATAATCAGCATATCAATTTTATAAAAGTACATTGTATTTATATGTAATATAAAATTAGATTACCTAGCAATCATTTTGAAAATTTGAAAAAATATCCTAATATATTTATAATACATAATCTAACTGACATTTTTACTTTTTAAACTAATTGAGAAGTGTAAGTTTAAGAAAAACTTATAAAATATAGAATCCTATAATTTAAATAATAACAAGTGAAACGGAACCAGGGTACTTGAGTTATAGAAAATATGCCAATTTCCGTTTTCTTATTATTGATTAACGAAATTTAATCTACAAGAAATTATTAAACACTACTTCTTAAGACAAATTTTATTTAAAATTCTTTACCAAAACTTCATTCAATATTATAAAATATGTATTTTTGGTACAAATTAGTTAATGGACTTTATATTCAATTAATTAATTTAGGTTTGATACTATGCGCATATCAAATGATTTACTCATATCAGTATTTATAAAAAAATCAGTATTTACTTTCATATCATATACTGCCTTATTTATTTAAATGAAATAGATTATACGCTAATAAAATTATTTCGTATTTTCTAGTAGTCTTCCCTTTTTCCAATTTAGGCAAATAATATTGCTAATCAATTGGTGCAATATTTTAAGTCAATTTTATATGTGTTAAGATATTTATAAAAAATAGGTGCGATGTGTAAAATAATATATTATAGTCAAATAAATTTAAATTTAATATAAATTTATATTTAGTATGTAAAAATGAATTTTAATTTATATAACAAAGATCATACGGTATTGTAAAATTTCAAATTTAATCAGAGAGAGAATTAATTTTTATATATTAGAGAGTGGGTCAAATTATTTGGCCATTGGGGTACCTTGCAATTTGAAACTTGCAACCATGCAAAATTTCAACAAATTCTTATCAGATAATAATTAAATATATGAAGAATGTACAGTATTGAAATTACTCGAAATTCGCTTTCGAGTTATGGTTACTTCAGTAAAGTTTCATGAAATGACCTATGCAATCAAAATCGACGGGTGCTCCGATGGTCAAAAAATTGACCCACCCCGAAGTATTTATATATATATATATATATATATATATATATATATATAAATTTTAGTTTATTTGATTTTATGGATTATTTTCAGTAATAATCAATGTACTAGAAATTTAATTCTCAAAAAGCAAAAATACTGATAAAAATTTAACCCTTATCATTATAAACGTAGATAATATTGATTTAACTAATATTTAACATATCATATTTATATTTATAAGGAAGCGTTTGAAGAACTATTGCACTACTGTAAATAAATTCAATATATACTTATATGTAACCATTGAAAATTTAAGATTATCTTTAAAAATAGCAAACTTAACCTATCATACATTTGATTCTAGTTTTTTTTTAATAAAAATATTTTGTATGAAAGATACTCAATATAATTCAATAGTTAAGTTTAGATAAAATAGACAAATTTGTGCAGGAAGCATTTGGAACGTTTTGTATTCTATTGCTTTTATCTTCCTTGTTATTGAAATCCATAATAATATAATCAGAAATGATTTAAAACTATCTGTATAATAAAGCACATTTTAATATAAATGGAATGTTTCAAATTTGAAGGCTTATAGAATATTTTTTATAAGAAAATTGAAAATTCACACACTTATTAAATTGTGAGTATAAAATGTTATACATCTGATGTAAGTATTTTAAATATTTGTATGTATACATATGTATACTAATATATCGAATTATCCTTCTCCAAACTCAGAAACAAATAGAATAAAGAAAAAATATGTCATATGTGACACGTTTTATATGAATTATTATTATTATAGGTTCCTTGTCCCAATTAATGTCCATTATGTAAGAGCGCGACTTTGCAAATATTATGAACATCATAAAAATCTATAAACATATATCTTACTTATTGTTTATAAAAGTTATATGAAATGTCATAATTGCAAAACTTATCTCATTTTATTTGTATAAATTTTATAATACAGTTAAGCTGACTGAACAAGCTTATATGAAAAGTTTGATCAGCAATATTAACACAAATAGAATTTATTAAAAAGCACATATTGTACATAAATAGGTAAGACAAATTGTAAAAATTGTATTAGTAAGTAGCAAAAGTATTAGAGAGTTTGATTTGAGTTGTTTCATCCATTATATGAAATTTATAAATCATATATAAAGTGTAACTATTAAATTACAAGATTAATAACATACTAGTATAAAAATTATTTTCTTTTCCTACAAAGCTGATATTGCACTTGGACACTGAGAAATTTGTGTCTTTGTTAAACAAAAATTATTTCTAATCCTATACTTCATGTTGTTTCTTTTACAAAATAAATAAAATTGCACAGTGCCAATTAACGTGGACCATTTTGAATGGCTCTTTGATGAATGTGAAAGCATTTGCAATACCATGAAGAATAAACCAAATAAAACATTGTTCGAGGTAATATTCACAAAAAGTTTCTATTAATAATATATGTACTGGAATTGTTTATTTTGAGACCATTTTGTTTGTATGTTGTAACACATTCAATTAAATATCAGTACAAAATATTTCATACAGAATTTGTATCACGTTATATATTGTAATTATATTACCTAATATTAACAGCCAACTTGAAACGTAAACTATATTCTCAGTCGTTATTTAAATACAAGTCTATATTTTATGAATTCAATCCCATTGAAACTTTTAAAACTGAATTTTAAAATTTATTGAAAACAAAATCTGTGCTTTCTTATTCTTGTTTCTTTAATAGCGACATATGGTATATAGATTTATTTATTAGTAAAATATCAATGAAATATAACTTGACTTTTAGAATGCATTAATAGAAAAAATAGCAAATATTGATTGCATTGTATATGCACATTTTTAAAGGTAATAAATATTATTAATTTATAAATGATAATTATTTATTTTAATTTTAGGAATAATTTAAAATAGTGAACTTTCTGGTGCAAGACTAATTAAAAAATAGTTAAATTCAAGTAAGAATAAAATCAGCAATGTTATGACATTAAAATCAAATTTATTTAAACATTTCATTAATAAACGATGCTATTTTATTAATAATGATGCTCTACAAACTATTATGAAAATTATATCACAAAAAATTAAGACAAAATTCTATCTAAATATAGATTATATTTCATTTTTTAAATCTTATTCGTTTAGTTGAACAAACATTTATAATAAAAATTAATCTATTTTACAAATTCCTGTGATATTTTAAAAAATCTGTATTTAAAAAATATATTGATTCAAATAATCAAACAAATCCCAATTAATAAAAATAAGCATTATAATTCACCGTCTTCTGAAATTCTATCACTATCATCTTCTTCATCGTCTGTTAAACTAATGCGACCATTGTTTCGATATTTGTTACGTAAATGGTTTCTGAAATTCATTTCATAAGAATTTATTTCATCACTATCATATTCGAGAATTTCTTGATCAGTGAGATGTGATTCTCCTTGAACAAATTTTGCAAATCTATAAAATAGATATTGTTACCAGTAATCTGAACCACAATATAGATAAAAATAAAAATATATTACCTTTTGGCATCTTTAGTTTTAATATAGTGTTCCATTGTTTACATTCAGGGCTATTGCAATGTTCTCGAAGTTCTTGCAAAGCCTTGCATGTTTCTTTTACACCTTGTGAATAATATTCTTCAGAAGTTAATAAGGTTATCTTTGGTGGGAACTTCTTTCTCCTAAATAATTATTTTTATAGATACTTTTTATTTGTTTTATTTGCTTTATTCTGTTATGCAATTGTAATACAACTTATATTCAATTACCAATACATCTTTGTTCTTTTTACAATAGTTTCTGAAAAATATTTGCCTGCGATTATTACACAACACATAGCTATTGCGGCTTCTTGATAATCGGTGTGGAAGGCAATAAAAATCAGTCCAACAAACTAAAATAAATTGAAAGAAATTACAAAACTGAAAATAGAACAACTAAATCTAGGGCAGTAATTTACCTGTAAAGACCATTTCACAATTTTTCGATTTTTCTCATTTTGAAGAGGATCCATTCTATAGCAAATAAAAAAACTAATAACTCCCGATACAACAATATACCAAGCCACATATGTTTTGTAACTTAACAGCACAACTTGCAAATTATCCCAAAGAATTTGCATAAAATATAAAACAAAGCCCAACCCCCAAGTGCAAATCCATACATTGCTGGTTTCTAGAACAAAATCATTTTATAAATATTATTGTTGCAGCAATAATTCAGTTTATTTACACTTCTAATAATAATTTATAGTAATTCTATATTCCATACCTTAGGTATCATTTTGCTCATGAAGTATATTAGAAATAAAAATGCCGCACATATTCCAATTAAAACCCCCGATGAATAATAAAAGAATTTGTTATTACTCAGTTTGGGTGCACCAATATACAGTATCAAACCCACTAATAAATACACCAACTTCCAAAAATCAATTCGTAGAAAGTTCAATTCAACTGAGTAATTTTGGGATGTATCGACTCCAATACAGCTTTGGTTAAAAGGGTTTAAATTGAAGGTTTTCTTTTTGTTTGTGAATAAATTAAAAGACCATGAGGAACGCCTTTCTTCATATTGCTTGTATACTTCCAGAGGAGTGTTACCCTCATATAATTCAAAATCATCTTTAGTAATTTTAACATTCAAAGAAACTGTTTGCCATATATAAAAAATGCGTTTTGAACGGCCGCTATAGCAGAACACATGAAGCCCCCTCTTTTCACTTTTTATTAGTGTTTCGGTTCCTAAATCTATATATGTTACTAAAATGGAGTAAAATTGATATTTTAGATAATTCTAGTACAAAAATATAAAATGTTTTAGGTTGAGTTGCTTTCTTACCATCATTTATAATATCAGTTGACTGGCAGTGGACTGTTTCAAAACTAACTAAAAGAACTAAATTTATTATAAAAATTATAACAGACTTCATTGCTACTTATTTATTTTTTATCAAATATAAATTATATCTATCTAAGCTATCTTAAATTAACCGTCAAACATCGTAAACAAATGACATTTTATCATCCTGCCATCTTTAGGATTTTAGTTCATATTGTAAGTGGCGCACAATGACATGTCGCTATTATTTTAATTAATTTTCGCATTTTTAATTATACATCTGTTAACTAATGAATGAAAGTGATAAGCAAATGTAAATGTTCATTAATTGAAAGAAAGTGTGATAAAATCACATCTATACCATAAATCAAGTACATATATATTTTTTTTGTTGATGCCGGTATATGGCCGGTACCTTGATGCAATTTTGTCTTGCTTTATTTCATATTATTAAAGGCTTTACATTTAGCAAACCATATAAATTACTATAGTGTTTTTCAATATAAAAATGTATTAAATCGTGCTTCAAAATGCAAATAGATTCAATAATTATTTGTGGCTGCAACAGGTTTGTGAGGAATAATATACATGATTATTGCTCATTAAGTCAATTGCTAGTCTAGCAATTGACTTAAATTACTTTCAGATAATTTTGTTTAGTGCATTATAATGTATTTGAATTAGCGCGTTTATACCATCACACGTTGACAACCCTGCATTACGAAAATGGCGCGAAATGTTTGACAAGATCAGTTCATTGCAGTCTCTTAATACACTGCAAATTATTATTTATTACGATAATGTATTAAAATGGATGGTTTTTCAAATATAGAAAAAATCGGTGAAGGAACGTATGGCGTAGTATATAAGGCAACCGATAATGAAACAGGAAAACTAGTCGCCTTGAAAAAAATCCGTTTAGAAAATGAGACTGAAGGAGTTCCCTCTACTGCTATGAGGGAAATATCTATTTTAAAAGAACTCAAACATGACTGTGTTGTAGAATTATTCGATGTGATTCCTGTTTCCAAAAGACTGTATTTAGTTTTTGAATTTTTGGATATGGATTTAAAAAGACTTATAGATTCATCTTCAACACCGTTTCCACCTGGATTAGTTAAAAGTTATATGTTTCAGTTATTGCAAGGTTTGGCGTTTTGTCATTCAAGAAGAGTATTGCATCGTGATCTTAAACCACAAAACATATTAATTAATAGTTCTGGACATATCAAATTGGCTGATTTTGGCCTGTGTAGAGCTTTCGGAATGCCTATTCGGTCATATACGCATGAGGTACATATTTGCATAATTATTTCAGTATATTTTTTTAAAACCACACAATAGTAATATATGTGTTAAGGAAAATTATCTGAATAAACAAAATTGTGATCAATATTATTTCAAATTGAAATGTTAACAGTTTATGAATTTTATTGTAATTATTTCTATGTATAATAGTTTTACAATTTAATTTTTTGTTTAATTATTTTACTCATTACACATACATAATTCAGCAGAAAATTATTTTTTTAGGTGATAACATTATGGTATCGTGCACCAGAAATACTTTTAGGAACAAAATTCTATACTACTTCAATTGATGTATGGTCTCTAGGATGCATATTTGCAGAAATGATGATCAGAAAGCCATATTTCCCAGGTGATAGTGAAATTGATCAACTCTTTCGAATATTTCGATTGTTAGGTACTCCAGAGGAAAAAGACTGGCCTGGTATCAAAGATTTGCCTGATTATAAAGCTATGTTTCCAAAATGGAATCCACAGCCTACTAATGCTATTATAAAGGAAAAACATCCAGGCGCAGAAAATTTATTATCGGTAAGATGTAATGAAAAGTTCTACTTTATAATGTATATTAAATTTTTGTTTTGGTCGTCAATCACTAAGTATTAATGTTAGAATATAATTTTAAATTTACTATTAGAATATAATTTTCAATTGACTAAACTGGTATTTGTTTTGTGTTTTTACAGCTCATGTTGAAATATGATCCAATAAAAAGAATTTCTGCAAGAGCAGCTTTAGCACACAAATATTTTAATGATGTTAAGTTGGAAATACCAATTCTACCTGAACCTCCCAAATGTTCAGTTGATGAAAATGAGTATTCTAATGAAAAGAGTAACTGGTGAGCTAATAAATACTTTGTGCTTCAACAATTTGTACTTACAAGAGATTGAAGTAAGTTTAACACACTATATTAATTCGACTTTTAATTTATTTTTGTAGATTTAAAGTACTTTTTTTCTTTAATTGTGCAATTTGTTTAATTTATTGATTTTTGTATTATAATTAAGTGTTTTAAGGGCACTTGTAAATATAATAAATTTTAATAATTAATTCTAGCTCTGACTCTAAAATTAACTCAAAAAGTAATATTTTAGTGTGTTTCAGTTAAAAGTAAAAGATTATTGAATTGTCTGTAAAAATGGTTTGTGATACGGTATAATATTTGATTGCCGAATAATCAAAGTGATCATAATATACATTGTAATAAGTACTAAAGAAACTATTGATACCATCTTGAACTAAAAAAAGTTTTTTATTTTGCGTTTTATTAAAAAGTTTACAGAACATAATTTTTCAATTTCTAGAAGAATTTAATGAGCTGTAGTTATATTTTGTGTTTCAACTGTTTCTGCTGAACTTACTGGTTGTAAATTACTTGTCTTAATTGCTGCATTGTTTAGTTGATTTTTGTTCTCAGCTTCATTGGGCACTAAAATATCAGGTATTGAAAGTGTCTGAAATGAAAAGTTAAAACATTGTACTATATATAAAGTATAATTTTAGAATAGAATAACATACCATTCCAGGACACAAAACTTCATATTGGTGCCTAAGTGCTTGTAGTTCAAACTCGCAATTTGCAAATGCAGACCTCAATTCACACAATAGCACCATGTCTGAACGTAGTTCATTAAAATGGGTGCATATTTCCTCTGTAGGCATTGGTGCATTTTCTACATTATATTCTTGTAGGAGACCTTCAATTGCTTTGCTTTTTTTTTGTCCTACACTTGCAGGTAATTTCATTCGGTGCGAACGTAGGGATACACCACTGCCACGCAGATCAGGAAACTTAATTCCAGCCGATTCCAGCACCTTAGAATTATACAATGGGATACAGTATTGTGATCACTAAAGAAAGTAGTATTTTTAAATCATATACAAAAAAAATTAATTTGAACATGAAACATGCTACAGTTTCTGAAATATTAATTTTATCTTAAAAATGATATTAAAATATTTGAATGTCAAATCTATACACTGAGTATATTTATAGTGATGGCATAAAGATTTATTTACGGTTGGATCCGTCCGACTAGGTCGTGAAGGAGGCTGCACGCGTTTCTTAGTTATTTTTCTATCTTGTTTTCTGTTACTAGATGAACTTGCATTGTTATTAACTGCATTCTCGGATTGCTGATCAGCCTGTGAAATTAGTTTTTGTAGATCTTGTGTTTTACGATCCCTCTCTTTTTTACGAACTTCAATTTTCTTCATTTCATTCATTAATGTTTCTTCTTCTTTTATCTAAAAATTATTAATATAAATTATTAGATTCTTTTTAATTCAAACATGAATTTTTAAGAGACTACTTGCAACAGAAATTTATTTAAATTTACCTGTTCTTCAGTCCGGTCAAATAAACGTCTCAACTGTTCTTTCCTTTTGCGCTCATGATCAGCATCATATACGTAAACTTTTTTCTCACCTTTAAGCTGAAACATACAATAATTTTTGTTATATAACAGTTTTATCATAGAGGCCAATAATCAATAAAGAAAAGCTACCTTAGTTAGGATTCCACAGACTTCATAGTACCGTTCTTTTAGATCTTCAACAGTTTTTGAGCCGTGGGCTTCTTTGTCCCATCTATCTGCCATAATCACAAACCTAGATAAAATAAAATTGCATATAAATTAGCAACTGAAATTATATGTTCGATTTTGGATATTGTAATAGAAACCTCAAATCAAAGCGTTTTGCTAAATCAAATAAATGATCAGTTTGTGGCTTTTCCCAATTGGAAATTCCTTTTAAGTGTGTCTGAAACTCTTCATCAGTATAGGTAGGAATATTCAATTGCTGGAATTAAACAATAGAATTGAAACAAATTTGTTGAAGAACAAAGTAAATGACTATTATGAGTGATTTGTATGTTCAACCTTGTTAAATTTTGCAAAAGGGTATTCTTTAGGTTCATCAGTCACCCTCCTCCAATGATGAAACACTGCTCCATCTGTTCTTGCCGGATTAGTAAAAGGTATCCATCTCCATGGCCGTGTTTTGCGCATACCCAAACGGGCCTTAGTTTGTTTGTAACCACATCCTTCAAATAACAGAAATATTATATTCATAAACTACAAACGAAAAGTTTTATATTTATTTCATAAAGAATAAGAGTCCATTTTTTGTTTTTGAAAGTTTGAAAAGTAAATATATATGTAATTTAATAACAGAATTATAAATGTACCTGTTTCTGTTGGTAGAAGAGGCGGCGCATCTTTATTATCATTATATAGTAATGCAAATACTTCTCTATGCATTCCCTCTGGCCGCTTTACAGCCTATTAATAAACATGAAAAATGCAGAATTTATTCATTGTTAAATGTTGTTCTGTTTATTATTTTGTATTCATGCTAACCTTAGGTTGTGGATACTTTTTTATTTTTTTATCATTATTTATAATACTGTCAATAGTTATTTCCGGAGTAGAAATTCGTTCCAATTCCAGGATATCTCGCACATCTGCCATTTTGACAAGTGATAAATAATAATAATATTAAATCACAATATTATTAGTTGTTGTTTGTCAAATCTCTTTTGAAGGCTGCCATCTGATCTGACAGCGGCCATAGAGAAAGTTTGGTGTGGAGTGACTTTGTGTGGTATACTACTCTTCCCGCTAGATGGGCCTAGAAAATCGTTTTATTTGAATTTACTCTTCTTTTATCTATGGCATTTACTATGTACTTTGGCTTGAAACGCAAAGTTAAAACCATGGACTAATTAATTATGTTTATTTAACACTTTCAAAATGGTATCAAGTCAAAACCATAGGCATTAATCACGGTTTTTCTGAAATACATTTTACTCAATTTCAAGACGACATCAAGTCAAAACCATGGATTTTTTAAACTCATTTTATTCAAATTTAAAATGTCAAGTCAAAAAAAATAAACGAATTGGATGGATGGTTTATTCACGGTTTTTTAAAACACATTTTACTCAATTTGAAAATGATATCAAGTCTAAACCATGAACGTTTCATTCATGTATTTTTTAAACACATTTCACTCAAAGGGTACCCCCATACAGGGAGTGATGTTTTGAGTTCGAATCCACAAGCAATTTATATATTTAACGTATAAGGGGTAAAACATTATTTTTATTGGATATTTTTATTAAACTCGATCATTTTATTATTAGATCTATAAAAACTGTTTGGATGAAAGTCTTCCCTAAAAAAGTTTGAATTTTTTTTTATTCGATATTTTTATTCGTTCCATCATTTACTTACGTGTTTAAATATATATTGGATTATTTATTTAATCAGCTATATTTCTATTTATACTTACTTCTCTTTTTTGTTTATTTCTAAAGTCATATATATTTTATTTATTTAATCTTCTGTTTTTTATTTTATTTCTTTGTTTTTTCAATAATTTGTTTTTTTTATTTATCTAACCCTTAATCCTTTCTATTTGGGAATTCCGGAATACACATGTATTTTGCCGCAGGGGCGGGGGCATCCGAGTAGAAAGGGTTAATTTACTCAGCATTTATTTATTTATTCATTTATTTATCTATTTGTCTATTTATTCATTCATTTATTTATTTGTCTATTAACTTCCCGTAGGGCAAGTTATAGTAATCGCAAAAAAATCGAAAATGAAAATTTTTATATATCTTTACGTTTCAGAGGTTTCTGAACATTTTGGCATACCTTAGAAAAAATGGATGTATGTGTGTGTGTGTGTGTGTGTATGTGTGTGTGTATGTATGTATGTGTGTGTATGTATGTGCGGATACAAATTTTCGTCGACGATTTCGGGAACACGGATCAACCGATTTGAATAATTCAAAAAACATTCGATCCGTATTGATAAGGAGACGTGCTGATTAGTTTTTGGCAAAGGCAGGTCAAGCCGTTCCGAAGATACGGGGCAAAAAGTTTCGAAAACGGTAACTCAGTTTTTAAGAGAACGGAGCGTCCGATTTTAATAATTCAAAAAACATTTTATTTGTATTGACAAGATGAAGAATAGATACAACTTTCATGAAGGTAGGTCTAGCGGTTTCGGAGATATAGAGGAAAAAGTAAAAAATGAGCCATTTGGCGGTCAAAAATGATCATTAGACATATGCACATCAAATTATCAGATATTTTATAGAGATTTTTAACAATAAGTATACATTTTGTTAACATTCCTATCGGTTCCGTACCAATGCTTATGCGTTAGACAGCGACGCGGCGCTTACGCGCTTTATATTTTGTCCCTATGTAGTTAAAGCAGTACGATTGCTTTGAAAAAAAAGTTCAGATCTTCCACAATATGTCAAAATAAAGAAAAAAAAAATTTTTTTCAAAAAAAAAAAAAAATTTAAAAAAAAAATTTTTTTTAAAAAAATTTTTTTTTTCGAAAAAAAAACTAATTTTTTGTCCAATTTATAGTTTCTCAAAAATCTTATTTTTTCAAAGTAATTTTTTTTTTCAAAAATGTTAATCGTTTTAAAAAAATAATAATAATTTTTGGTACGGGAAGTTCCAGCAATTTGCCTTAAGGCACGATGCCCTAATTGCCTTAAGACAGAATTCCACTTACAGCTAGTTTATTTATTTGTCTATTTATTTATTTGTCCATTAATTTTGTATAAAATTAAATAAATTACATGTCTATTGTAGATTTTAGTACATTAGTTCTATTTTTTTTTTAATTCAGATTGCCCCCGGCCAACGAAAAATCAGGATAAAAGACGATATTTGCTGAGGGTTCAGAAATAAACACCTCTGGAAAGGTTTATTTATAGAACGAGTACATTTTGAGACATAAAGGTACAATTTTTCTTTTTTTTATATATGTTTTAATTTATTTTAAATAAGTATTTATATATTTCATTAGTTTATTAAATTGTCTAATTATTTATTTATTCATGGATTCTGTTTTACTTAAGTATTTAACTATTTACTTATCAATATATTTGATTATTTATTCAATGAAGTATATATTCATTCACACTTACTTATCTTTATTATTCAAATTTATTTATATACTTATTTACATGGATAATGAAACTTATTTCTTTATTTATTTATTCATTCACCTATTTGTCTATTTAGTATTATTTATTCATTTACTGAATAACCTAGTTATTTATTAACTTCCCGTAGGGTAAGTTATAAAAATGGGCCAAAAATCTAAAATGAAAATTTTTGCATATCTTCACGTTTTAAAGGTTTCTGAACATTTTGGCATACCTCAGAAAAAATGGATGTGTGTGTATGTGTGGATACAATTTTCATCGACGTTTTCGTGAGTATCGTTCAATCGATTTGAATGATTGAAAAGGCAATCGATTCCTACTAATGGGGACTATTAGTTTTTGGGAAAGGTCGGTCCAGCCGTTCCGAGATACGAAGCAAAGAGTGCAGAAAGTGTAAACTCGATTTTTGCGAGAACCGGACATCCGATTGGAATGATTCAAAAAACATTCCATTCGTAATAATGGGGAAAAGTGTGATTAGTTTTGGGCAAAGACAGATTCAAAAAGTTATGAAGATACGGAGCTAAATTTATAAAAAATGACAGTTTTTGAGAGAACGAAGCATCCGATTTAAATGATTTAAAAAACTTTCTACTTGTGTTGACGAAACGATTGCTTTTGAAGAAAGAAGTTTTATTATTTTCAATTTTTTTTAAATAATTTTCTTTTTTTGAATACAGAAAAATAATTCGGATTATAGTTTTAATTAGAGATAAAATTTTAAAACTCACTTATATTCTTCAAATCAGTAATTTTAACTTTGCAATTCATATAATTCTTATAAATGTTAGACAATGTTATTCATTTTAAATCCGATTCATTTAGTTTTGTATACTTACTTTTTGTGAAATAAGAATAATGAAAGTTACATCATTTATAATAATCTATTTGAAAACATTTTATATTCCTCAAATATTTCATTAAGGTACGGGAAGTTCCATCAATTAAGGCATGATGCCATACACCACTAGTTTCTGCCTTGCAATTGGGAAATTATAATATAAAATAATAAATAATAATGTAAATTAACTATTTTACGTCAATAATTATTAACGCGGTTGCATAAAATATTTCTATAGAATTATTACATCATTTTAAGTACTAATTTCATATATTATTATGAATATATTTATTTCATTATTATTATGAATAATGTTTTATTTTGACAGTGAAAATATATGCAATCCAAATTGTCAATGTTTACTATATTGGATTCAAATGCAATCCAAACGGTCCAATGGGACCCGTAATAAGGGTACTTTTATATTGCATATCAGGCCCTGTCCAATGAAGACGATAATTAGTTATTATTCTTGTGAGAAGGACTTCCATTTCCAATTCTGCAAATCTTCTTCCAACACACATACGAGGGCCAAATCCGAATGGCATGTAGCTGAATTTATGAGCACATTGTGCTGATGGAAACCCTTCAGAACCAGCTCGAAGCCATCTCTCTGGCATGTATTTGTGTTCATCTGGAAACTGTTTTTTTACTCTGGCAGCTAGATGATGGCACATTAATACCTGGGTCTAAGGGAAATAGATATACAAATTTTAATTTTCTATTAAACTTTTATTTTTATCAATTATTTACCCCTTTTGGTACTGAATATCCACCGAGTACAAGATCAGCGCCAGTGTTACGTAGAATTCCTACAGCAATGGGTTTCAGCCTTTGAGTTTCTTTGATACATGCTTTAAGGTAAGATAAAGAATTTAGACCCTCTGCTGTAAGAGTGCTGCCTCTTGGAAATTTGGAATTAATTTCTTCTCTCAATCGATCTTGCTTATCAGGATTTTTGGACAAAAAATATAGCGTGCTTAATGATGTCGAAGATGTCTACAAAATTAAAACAAAAGATCACACACTTGAAATTGAAATCAATGGAAAGACATAATAAATTGATTACTTAAAAGAAACTTAATATCTTTATATAGGATAATGGATTTATTTTTATATACCGTGTCTACACCGGCGAAAAACATATCGAGTGCCATAATTATAGCAATTTGTGGATCGATTTTCAGTAGTTTTTCTAAAACGCTCAAATTGCTTTCGTCTATGGTCGGATTTTCTTCTAATCTTTTAATAGCTTTTTGAATGTGTTTTATGGATATTCTGAAATGTAATAAGTATTAAAAATTTAATAATTTCTATATGTGAGATCATTAATATTAAAAATTGCGTCATTGTAAATACAAGAACCTCTACTTCTATAAGATTCATTGCATATTATTCAAGGATGTTGCAAGCAATAATATTGACTAATAATCTTACTCTGTAAAACAGTCAAATATATCCATTATTTCATTGAATTTGGGCGTGCTAACATATTTCCACATAGATGGCAAAATTTCGACTTGATATGCTAGATCGAAGTAGCGCGATAATGACTTGATCAGCCTGAAACCATCTGCGTTCTCTGGTTGGTGCAGATCGAGGCAACCCAGGCGCGTGTCGATGGCAATTCGGGCTATTGACTCCATAGACCATCTGTCCATTTCGTAAAGGAAATCCTTGGGTACTTTACGTTCGGAATCCAAT